CTGTGACTCCATCCTGGAGAGAAATATCAGCTGTGCTGCTGCCATCAACACCTTTGTTTCTCTGCTTCTGTCTCCTTGAACCCCAGTTGGCCTCAGCAGATGGCCGCTCACACTGAGCCTGGTTCTGCTGGAGGTTTCTTCCTGTTAAAAGGGAGTTTTTCCTCTCCACTGTCGCCACAACCATGCTTAGTGTGAGGGATTGCCTTTGATTCAATAAATCGATGCAATCAACTAGTTTTCCTGAGATTTGACTCAATTTGCCAGGATGATCTGGTTGAACTGTAAAGTGCCTTGAGATGACGTGTTGTGAAGTGGCGCGATATAAATAAACTGAACTGAATTGAATTCATTTGTGCATTAAGCAGCCATGTTTTTGTGATCCTGTAAGGTGAATTGCTGCTGCACCCACCTGCCCTCCATTCTTAATGTTTTCTTTGATTTGGACAATCTCTATTCGCTTGTTAAAAGGAGTTTATGACTCCTTATAAAAAAAAAAAAAAAATGAAAATCAGGCTAAAAGCAAAAAAAAAACAGCAGTGGTATCAGAAAACCAGGTGAGTAGGATGCGGATTGGTGCATCTGTAGAACCTACCTCCGTCCTAAGAGAGCTAACTTCACTCATTAAGCTCTCGATCTTCCTCTCATAATGGCTGATCCGGCCCTGCAGAACTTCCTCTTCCTCTGACGTGAGATCCGACACATGCAGCACAGACTGGGAGCGCTCAGGTTCTGGTTCTGGGAGCGGCGGTGTGATCTCCAGGCTTTGAGTCGGTCCCTTAAATAAAACAGAGTCACAGGGATGAGATTAACCAGGGGATGCAATCTAAGGAAGGAGGAGTGTCCCAGAAGATTCCTAACCTCCCACTTGTAGGAAGCCTTTCCTGGGGGGATCCAAGGCACTCGAGTTTGGACCTTCGCTGTCGGACGAAGCCTCGAATTTTCCACATTCACCTTCCCCTTGAAAAACACGAATGAAACAGAACCTTCGTTTCTGAGAAGATGGGATTTTTACGAGGGAAATCAGAGATGAAGAGGAGCCAGCTGGTTCTACTAACATCAATCTAGCAGCAGAAGAAGACGCTGCGTCATGGAAAAGGTGAGAAACAGAAAGGAGGGGAGCAGAGGGAGAGCTCGGCCTCTCACCGACCTGAGGCGTCCTGCCAGGAGCCGTCCTCTGGCTCTTCACGTGCACGTGGACCGGAGTGGCATCACTGACGTGCACGTGCACTGGGGGGGAACCGGATCGGTTCTTCATGGCTTTACTCTGAGGAAGCAAGGCAGCCATAAGTGACTGTGATGATGCCGCCATCTGTACCCACCATCAGAAAATGAAAACTAACCCAGACGGACCTTTCCTGTTCAGAATCCTGAGATCATGACATCAAAATACAATGGGAACCTACATTTATATTTAATGTTTAGTGTTTAATAGAAGTAACGACAATAAAGCCTCTGTTTAAGCAATTAGGTTTATTTTCTGCCTGACTTTGATGAGTATTTCTCAAGCAAGGATGTCTGATTTTTTTACTCTGTGGCGTCTGGCACAAGGGTCATCTCCCCCCTCCTTGGACATCTTATGCAAAACATTACCTATTGTCACTCATGTACAATATTTTTCTCTCTAACTGGGAAATAACTCATGCCAACTACTGTGTATTTTTTTTAAACTTATTTATAAGGTCAGTACATTTCTGCAGTGCAATGCAATAACCCAAGTCAACTACTATGTATTCTTCACTTAGCTCTCTGCTGTGCAGATATTTTTATATCTAAGGGAAACATATTCCAGGGCCTTTTTTCTTTTTTTTAAGCTTTTTTTGTACTGTATTCACTCTTTTTTTATTGTCTGTCGTATTTTTATCTTTAATGGCATCTTGCTTTAACTCTTTGTACTCTATATAAGCTACTGGAACAAGAATTTCCCTGAAGGAGTAATCCCAAGGGAGAAATAAAATGAGTCTAAGTATAATTCTATTATGTTTTGCTCCATTATTTTGCAAGCAAAGAGCCTCTTTTGTAAATGGAAAGTGTAAACAAAAATTTTCTTAGAATTTTTGTTCAAAATCTTTATATCTGATTTTTCTTTTGTAATTTTATTTTTTATTTCATCCTTTATCATTCCAGATTTAGTCTTTTCACCTTTAAATTTCTTTTTTTCAAATTTCTCCTTTTCAGACTGAGGTTTTTCTTCAAAAATAAGGGAATTGTGAGCGGTCTAGTCAAAGTCTGGACTTCATTTGCAATGAAATGCGAGAGAATCACTAAAACCGGCTCATCTTTGTAAACTTGCAGATCAATTAGAACAAGATATATCATATCTGAGCAAAAAATAAAAACAAATATCTTTCTATTTTCACCTTTGTAAAGCTCTCCTA